CGAGCGTGGCTCATTAAGATTCAGTCTGCCGTTTCCTCAGGCCGTCTTGTGATCATTCACACAGGGTTAACGCATTTTGGACCAGATAGGAAGCACTCCAGGGTTATCTGCCAGACCTAAACTGTTTAAATAAAGGCAGCAAAAGAAGAGGTGGAGAGAGGGATTACGGTGGCAAATGAGAGAATGAGAAAGGGATGGGGGGGGAGTGTCAGCGGAGGAGTGATCTGAAGAAGAATGCCGTTGAAGAGAAGTGGGTAGAAAGAAAGGCTCAGCCCTCAGTTGACAGAATGGATGTTGCAGGGCAGTGGTGGAAGAGGAATGGAGAAAGAGCGAGGGAAGGGAGGCACGTGACTAAATGTATTCTGATAACTGAACAGCAGATGTCTCGCATGGAGCTCCTTTGTTGCCTGAACAGCAGGACCCTGCACTTCAGTGGGCTCACTTCACACCGCATTCATTTGCCTGCCAGCTGCCAATTTAGGGTAGAGAGAGTGAAAAAGAAGGAGAAAGAGAGAGAGACAGAGAAGGGGGGAGGCTCACACCAGTCCGTCCCTCCCTTCCCTCGGCATGTCTTGCAGAGAGGCTGCCATTCCCTTCTCTCTTCCCCCGGTGGCCTGTACAATTAGTGATCTGCATAACCACCCACACCTCCACGCACTGCTCTCGCAGAGCAGAGGGGGAGCTGCCTTTGTCTTTTGGCTGCTGTACAATGAGTCGCTTTAGACTTGGCTGGAAGCCAGGAGCTGTGGCACAAAACTGCATGTTCTTGATGGATGACGAATGCTCCCGGAGTCTTGTTTCCTCCTGCAGCTGATTTGGCAGGTCAGAGATGAACTGCAGTAGAAGCCATCAACAGCCCTTTTGTTAAAAAAAACTTCCAAAACTGTGGAAAGGGAGAAGTTTCTGAATTGTGAATTCTTATTATCCTCCCAGGTACCTTTGCAAAATGGAAGCACACTCTCATTAAGCCCGCAAAGCCCACAGTTCATTAACGCCTGGGTGAAAACAAATTCACACCCCTCTGCTAAGTGATGCCGGCCAAGGCGTGATGGCATCGAGGCTTCGGTGAGGCTGGTTGTGTGAGGAGAGACTCAGGTGACTACAACCACAACTTCACAGCTCACCTGATGCTTGTGACCTAGCTGAGAACCAAATCACATCTCACTGCTACACATCCTCAGCCTTACGAGCAAGAGGAAGAAGAAGTGTTAAGTCGTATTTAGTTGATATAATTGGTTTATTAGCACACTTCTTACGTATTTTATCTCACGTATATTAGAGGTAAACGTGAGGCGAAAGGATATTTTTTGCTCTAAACTCCATCGTTGCGTTCTCCCTATTTGTACAGCAGCACCATGAACTTCTGCTCTGTTCGACTTTCACCATGTTATTATCTTAATTGTGAAGGCCATTCAGTGAAGTGGGTGCTGTGGAGGTTTGTAGGGAGTGCTAACCCCATTATTAAGGCTTGTGCGGTGCATCATATGGGAGATAATACATGTATTGATCGACGACCACCGGCTCATCTAAATTGTACTCACTTGTTACAGTACAAAAGGCAGCAAGAGCAGATCCCTCTCATCACCCTCCCCAATGTCAATTCGCAGGACGAGCAATGGAACGAGCATTATCCCCACTTCCTGAGTTGGAGAGGGGGGAGATGATAAAAACTTTTTGATTAAGGGAAGGGAATGTTCTATTTCATTCTGATTCGGGAAGCAGGAGAAAGAGCGGAGGATTAATCTTAAGGCCGTCGTTTTACTGCCTATCCTCACTCCTGTCTCAGAGCTGAAGAAGCGCGAGTGAATAATGGGGTGTCCATCAGCCGTGGGCTCAAGCCCAGATTGGGATTTTCTCTAGGGATAATACAAAGCAGGGCGACAATTGATGATTCATAATGTACAGTTTTAGCCTGGCGATAGCGCCAGCTATTGTGGCTGTGTTGGCATTAGTATTACAGTATCTCCCAATGAGGTGTTCCCGGCTGACAGCAATCTTTCGGAGTGTTCTTCTGCTGAGGATGGGAGAATCATGAGTTTATAAATATGGATACAGAGAGTCATATATTCTGTAATTCAGATATGTGACAAATTGCACTTTTAAGTCGTCTGAAGAAACATCCTCATTCAGTCATACATGCACAACATTTAAGAATCCTTTGAAAGGAAGGGAGGATCCAGCTATGGCAGGAACCAGCAAGGAATAATGGTGCCTTGTTGCGTTCACTTACTTGACTCGCTCATTTTGTACACTGCAGCTTTACACTGAACCGAGAACAATCCCTGCTAACAAAGTTGTCTAGCTCTCCAGTCATGTGAGCAGCACCTGTCGTGTCAGAGAGTGGAGGCAGAGGCGGCGCTGGGGATCCATGGAAGGGACGCTATCCATCAGTGGTTCCATTTGATATTTAATTTAGACTTTTATGAGCCTTAGAGGATGGGCCATGTCATTTTTCTCTCCCAGGCTCTCTCTATAGGGATTGAGGATAAATTCCTTCCATCCGTGCAGCAGCCTAACCAAGGCTCCCTCAGATTTATAACTGTATGTGATAGTGGTGATGCTGGTGGTAGACGATGACTGGCCCACATACAGTACATGAGTTTCTGTCCGGGTCATACCTACCTTAACTTAGAGAAAACCTGCTCTATACTTTCTCAAACTTGGATAAAGGTAAAGGACGCACTGATTAATTGCAGATTTTAGTAGTTTCCATAAATGCTGACCATAGATATTCTTACATTGGCGTTATACTGTATTAGTAAGAAAGAACTGATGTGATGATGTCATATCTGGCATATTTAGAGGAACAATATTCTCATTTAAAAGCAGCAGAACAAAATCAATTAATTTAGCATTAATCAACAGAGTGTGATATTATGCATACATGTTTTCTATTTCCATGAGTTATGGATGGAATAAAATAGGCAGTATTCTGAGAGGGTAATTTTAAGGAGCAGCAACGAGTTTTATAAACTAATCCTCTCCTAATGGTCTGTTTTAACGTAATTTATAGCTTCATTCATTACCCCTTTTGTATCAGTAATTATTTCTAAAATACCAAAGAGCCATCTTTTCTTTCCTGGTTCTTCTCAGGCTCTGATTTATCACCCCGGCTCTAGCCTGATGCTGTCTTCGCAAGGTGTGACATTTCAAAATATTTATAGCTCTGGCACATTAAAGGCCTTCCTTTGAAGGTGACCGACCGCTCTTCCACACCAGTGTAATTAATGGAATCTCAGCTTGTTCTCCTTGTGTTATTTATCCACTGCATTCTATTGAAACACTATGGAAAACAGCAAGGTATTGGCTTAGCTACCTCAGCTCATAAACAGGCATTTTATACCCGCTGGTCCCAGGATGCATTGCACCAGGGGCGACAGGGAGACCATTCCATGTCAGAGCCCCAAAAGTTTAATATTTTATTGATTAGATCTAAACCCTCTGTCCAAAGTGGCAATTAAAATTCAATTAAACTGACTGAAAGCATCATATTAAATTTCATCTCTTTATGAGCTCCAAGATAATGCTGGAGGACAAGACTTGAATATAATCACACCCTTTTTAGATTATATTATCCTGTTCATTCACTATAAAAGTGACACTTTTAGGTATACTTTCAATATTTCTTAACTATAACCTTCTAATGAACACATTTTATTGCCATTAAATCAACTATTATTGGGCATTGTAATAAAGACAAAGGCTGCTTTTTGTTCAGCACTCCACATTGGAAAAGAATTTGCTGCGTCACATTTTACAGGTAAATGAAATGTCAACCAACCAGAAAAATATAAACAAATTAATTTAGTATATTTATTAAAACCTCCATAATGCTTCCTAACAATAAACACAATGGTGATGAAATAATTTAGTCTCGAAGTGTTAGATAACTAATAAGGCAACCTAAAACTTTTGTTTTGTAGAAATTAAAACAGTAAAAAATATTATAAATAATATATGTGTGGGACAAATGTATGAAAACAAAACTAGTAGTCTACAGTCATGCAGCTTTGTGAAGCTGTTCTTAGGCACAGAATTCTTTGAACATCAGCATGCTAACATATGCAGTGAACATGCTGATGTGAAGCAGGTGTGTTTACCATGTCCACCATCTTAGTGTAGCATGTTTGCAATGCAAGCATTTTACAGAAGTTAAAACTTGGACCTGCTTCTCTGGGCATAATGGATATCCAGGGCAATCCATGCAATAGTTGTTGAAACTATTACACGAAAAAAACAAATACTCACAAAGTCAGTAGATTTTGTCCTTTGAGGAACACAAGTATGTGTAAATATATATGTATATGTGTACATTTTATAGGAATCCATCAAATAGCAATTGTGATATTTCAGTCTGGACCAAAGTGGTAGACAGACAGACTAACATTACCATCCCTAGCATCCAAAAAAGTGCAGCCAACATGTCTCAATTCTAACAAATGTTCTATTTGTTGAACAAAAATAGTGTGAGGACTCGTATGTTGTAACTCCACCATATCCTTTCATTTTTTCATCAAAGGTCGAAGGTCAGTGCTAAGCCACAGCAAGGCCATTGATCCCGCAGCATCCACTGCAGTAAGCAGGCTATTTAGATGTACACAGAGAGCAGTGTGGGAGACTGAGAGAGGTTGTTATTACTGAGTGCCTCTCTGTTTCCCCAAGACTGTTTGCTCTGTGTGATTATTCTCTCCAGCTCCCTGAGCATCCTGGCTCCTGCCTCTGTGATAAAGATATTCATTTACCTGATATGAAAATCTTGTTCATGCCGATCCCAAATGACTGTAGATAGAAGAGGAAGAAAACAGGGAGGTGAGAGACGGCGAAGGAGGATAGAGGAGGTGATAGGATTGAAGTGCACAAGGGAGAGAGAGAGAGAATGAGAGAGAGAGAGAGTGGCTGAAAAGAATGACATGAAATATTAATATGATCTGAGCCAATGTGACACCTAAAGTTTGCATGATAACAAAAAAAAGGCTTTGTATCAAATTTTGATTCAGGATTTTTTATTGATTTGTGGAGAAACGATTGCCAAGACATACAACTCAGTTGAAGTGGAGAATGTAAATTTCCCATAAGTTTGAATGTGTTTTTCTGGTAATGATTGTGGCATAATGAATGAATCAAGGCTGTGAATGACGGACTCTGCGTGTGCGTGTGCACATGCAAAAGCTCATATTGTAGGTGTGAATGTGTGTTCCTCTGTTTTTTTTATGCGTGTTCTCGAATGTTGTTGAGGAGTATCCTGCAGTACACATCCTCCCCTTTCTGCTAATGATGAGATTCATTTCATTTTAACTGCTTCTGAATGAGGCTTTTCATGCAGTACTGGCATCCATCCACTAACTCTTCCACAGATATGAAGTAGGGAGAGATAGATATTATGGCGAGGGAAAAAAAAATAATCGAAATGTGTCCTCTCAAATGCATCCTCATGGTTAAAAGGGTAAAATGAGATGCAGGGGTGTGATAGTCACTCCCCCTTCATCACGTAGGCAGCCCATCTTCTCTTCCTTTATTTTGTTTGAGTATATGGCTCACTCATCTCAGGTTTTATTGTCTCTGTCTCGGGGAGCGCTGCTTTTCCCTATAACACCGTCACCATGCGCAGCACATCAGGCAAGTTCTTGATTCTGTACTCAGTAATTTAAAGCCTTTATGGAATTGCAATTTCAGGGCTCAGTGCTTGTTTTTCTAAAATGTACTCAAGGAATTAGCTACTCCAGCCACAAATCAGTTGAATTTATGCACAGTTGTAATACACTTTATGGGCTCATGGTACATTGCTTCAAAAACAGCAGATGTGAAATTATGATAAATATAATGAGGGTTTTTTCCCTCCTCGCTCGCCTTTTTCTGTCCCTCACTCTCTCTCTCTCGACTGTGAGAGAGAAGGATGTGAAGCGTGTTTACTTACCCCATACAATACATTTAATGTCTTAGTAAGGGCCGCCAACAAAACCTGATTAATGTCCTCATCTCTTTTATTAAAGATAAGAGTGGCACTGCAGTCAGGAGATAGAGAGAGTGCCATAAATCTCAGGCAAAATGAGCAGTCAAATAATCACTCATCAGAAATGAAATCTACATATATTAACACTCGCAGACATTCTGCTGAGAATATAAACACAGTGCTATGGGCGATGAAGCCAGCTCCATTTATCCACATATTTGCGGTTAGGGGGAGGTAAAGGTGTCTGGAGAGGGTAAGCTCTCAGCTGGTGATGATGTTTAAGGGAGTCCTGTCCTGCTAAGCTGCAGTCCACCAGACTAACCATGTGTCCAAGGGAGCAGACGCACAATCATTAGGGCAATGGATGAGTTGGATGGCGGAGGCAATTAAGCATCACCCTGAATAGGACATAATGTTGATCCATCCCTACGATTAATCAAGGCAGGCATTAGACAGTGATGGGCGACCCTGTGCCTTTGTGACAAAATGATTCTTCATCCCGTGTTTGGGGATTGGGATCCTGAGGTCCCTAATGCGCCTTAGAGGCGCCCCAATGAAACCCTGTCATTTATTCTGTTTCTGTCCCTGACAGCTATCAACCTGTCTTCTGCCAGCCAAGGAACATTATCTGAACTCCCAGGGCGGTTAGCGACAGGGACTAAGCTTATGAGTGGTGGTAGCAGACAGGCAGATATGTAAAGCAATGATAATGCTACCTTTCTTTTGTACTATCACAATCGCTGTCAACCCTGGTACATGTACACTCAGTTGCCAGTTTATTAGGAACACATAGCTAAAACTAATGCAGTCTAATACAAGAGTCTTGCAAATTTAACTGTATGGTTATTCTGGAGAATGTTGAATTGTACTGCATTATACAGAAAGGTGTTAGCCTACCCTCATTGAATCAACCCCTCTCTAAACCAGTTTTAATAAAAACTGACCATTAAAACCTTCATGAAGAAAGGATTTATTAGAAGATTGTTGTATCAGACTTAGGGTTGCAAAATTCCGGGAATTTTCAAAGTTGGAAACATTCCATGGGAATTAACGGGAATATATGGGAATTAACAGGAATTAACGGGAATTAATGGGAATTAATGGGAATTAATGGGAATTAATGGGAATAAACTGGATATTTTTAATATTGCTTGTCATAATACTGTTAGTCTATAACAGGGAACTTACATGTAGTTGAAAAGAAACATCTTGCAGGATAATCTTGCTTAGAACAACCTGATTTAATGCAACTTTAATGTCCTCCCTATATTCGTCAATGACATGCACACACGCAGTAATCAGCATAGGCTACTACATACTTGCCAACATTTATTTTTTTAAATATGGGAGTTTTTTCTATTTTATGGAGGGGGGGTTAATACATAACCCATCGCTATTAACCTGTTTGTGTTAATTGTATTGTACGCATATAACCATAACCATAGCCATAGTAAATCAAAGGCAGCATGCTAGCTACCATCATATGTTAAGCTAAAGGTCAATGGTTTGGGCTACTACTTATGGTTCTATCCATTTGTCTCGTAAATCCCCCGCCCAAGTTGCTCTGACGCGAGAATGTGACGTAATTACCTGGTTTGTACCACTTATAGCGTTCCATTTGTCTTTGGGCATTACGAGTCGGAAAGAACATGGACGCCACCAGTGCAGCAGCTGTGTTGTTATTGTTTGTGGCTCATCTAAACAAGCTCAATGTGAAATAATAATGTTTTTCTACAGAAACACTAACATTTCAAGTAATTCCGTTATTGCAAGTCTTACATTTCAATAATATTTTGCCATTTTCGCCTATTTCAATGTTTCCAAAACTGTAAGTTTCCGGAAATTTACCGGAAAATTTCCACCCCTTTGCAACCCTAATCAGACTGCATTACTTTCAGCTAGGTGTACCTAATAAACTGGCAACTGCCTATATTTACCATGGATGCAACAAAATATCATATACAGATAATACATTTATGTAAGCATACTGTGTACATTTGCAAGCAGTCATGTATGCACACATGCATAAGGCTATATATAAACACACCAGAAATAGAGCCACATGTGCTTTTTCCATCTCCCTCACATCAGAGGCCTCCCGTGACAGATGTCATATGTTGTGTTTAAAAACTTTTGGAAAATTAAAAACAAATGCACAATGCACTATGACTGCTCTTTGTCTCGGTGTCAATCATATCTTAATAATCAAAAATTATTATTATTATTATTATTTTTTCACTCATTCACCACTCCTGTGGCATCTGGCAGGGAGAGGCTGACAAGGTGTCTTTACAGCGGAAATTACAAGAAATGGATTTGCCATGCTTGATAAGAGTGTCAATCCACTTCATATAGAGTTGTGCAAAGTACTGCAGCGCCTCTCAAAATATTGACAGGGATGCATAGCAACGTCAGTGGTCTCACTGTGATAATGACTTGCTTGCAAGCTGATACTGTACATGTGCCTCATAGACACAAATTCAAAGCGTATTTATGGTTGTTAATCTTTCAGAATGAGTTACTCGTGATCAAAATAACATGGTTTTTGTTTAACTTTATAGTTTGTGCGTTTACCTTGTGACCTTGAGTAGAATATTATATTTAAGAACCTTTCATCATTTTCTGTGATTTATGACTATATCACCCCCATTATTTCTAATCACAAGGTAATTTTACCCATTATTTAAATCTATAAGATGTTCAGTTGTTCTGCTCCACAGTTTTCTGCCTCTCTTTAGCCTCCCTCTGTCCATATGGTTACCTATTCACCTGTACTGCTGGATCATGAGAATGTCATTACCTCCATCATTGAGCCCAAGCATCTGAGAGCCTGTTAACCTGGAACAGGCCTGGCTCTGCAGCCCTGTGCTGATGGTACAATATGCTCCTTGTTATTCCAGGATCATTGACGCTAAAGCCCTGGCAATCAAGCCAGTTTTGTTGAAGCTCATTGGCTCAGTGGGGTCTCATCTCATCTGCTTGGAATGAGGAAAAGAGTGTTCGGGTTAGTTGGGTCGTTAGGTAGAAATTCTTTGATAATGGTGCATGTTACATTAGAGCCTTACAAACCAAGGATACGTGTTTCAGAGTCTGTGTAATGTAATTTACAGAATGGTTATGGTAGATAAGAAATTCTCTTGGAGTGTGAAGTATGGAGATGAATAGTTCCTTATTAATCCCGACTCATCATATGCTACATAGCCAAGACATACTAGTTATAATGTGAACAGATTCATACATATCTAAGACACTTTTATTGCCGATGATATATGGCTAATGTATCTTTTCAAACTGCAGACCCAATGCAGGAAGTAGAGGAGTGTGATTGTCAGTGCTATCATCTTACTTGTTTGAAACAATTGTCCAAACAACAGCTAATTTCATGTAGCATTAATAAGACATTCATAAATGACCATTAGTTGTGAGCAATCTCTCAGCATTAACAGGAGCCTGATGAAATGTACACCCATGATGAAATGGAAACAGCTGAACAGCTGAGGCCAGAGGTGACCTGTAGCCACCACATTTCCCCCATATGAAACAATATGATGGTGGGACATTTTTTCACACATAAAACTTTTTTCATGCAGCTTGGTGCAACCGAAGTTGCACTGTATATAATGCTATCACAGTGTTGAATACCAGGGGTGGGCGATATGGATGGAGTCCTGTATCGTGGTCTATGTATTTGAAAGTACTTTATCACATTGGTCACCAATACAATCACAGATGTTAAAGGCATTGTTGCCATCGTATGGCAAAATCTCTAACGATAGACACATTAATATATCACCTGATGTTATGTATCATTATATCGGCCGTCTATACTCTTTGATAACTGGAAATGTTGCATACACCTTAAATACATTAAAATTAGCCATCTGAGCTTTTTGCAACCAAATTCATCTATTCTGTAACAGCCAATCCAATTGTCACATGATCACTTCCAGTCGGAAGAGAGTCAGAGGAGTTGCTGGTTCCAGATGCATTTTCCCCATTCTGTATTCCTATTTAAATTTTTTTTTATGATATTCTCATTCTAAATGTTCCTAAAATATGCAGTTGCTTTTTTATCACGTAACAACAGCTGAATTTAGACAGCAACTTTTACGTGATTAATTCTGGCATATCACAACTTTAAGGAATGTAAAGTAAGAATAAAATGTTACCATTACAACTGTATTCAGTGTTGAGTTATGGTACAATGTCCTCAGCAGATCCTCTGCAGCATCTCCAGTTTATCCCTCTCCCTGTGGGATGTCAGCCTTGCAGAGGAAAAGGGGGCATCTTTGAGGAGGTGGCGTCACACAGCTGCCATGGCCCAGCACAGCTCCTTGAGGAAAGACATGTTGTCAGTGCGCATTAATCATCGGGCCCACCATTGGAAACAGATTCCCCTCATAAGCAATTTCACTCATTAGAGTTACGGTGCTGATTTGCTGATTGGAGCTACGCTGAGGCTACTACACTGCGAGGGAAAGAGAGGGGAGCAGGAGAGAGAGGAGGGAAAGAGGGAGGAGAGGGGGAGAGAGAGGGTCTGACACATTTACAGTGATGTGAAAGCTGAGATGTTGATTAATGTGCATTGTTCCTGTCACATAAACTGAATAAATAAATATCAAACAAAGGCAGAGGGAGAGACTCATTTACAAACCAGGAAATGAAAGTTCCATTTAGTTAGGGAGTAAGACAGACCAGGATGACAGTCTACAGACATGACTGTAAACAAGAAATCACCACAGTGTAAGTCGAGGACATGTGCCCACATTCACAAAGCACCTGGTGTTTCAAGCATTCCTTAAAGTGACTCAGTTCAATTCTTGTGGCATAGACAAAACATTGAGCCCCACTGCCTTGCCAGCTCCTCTGAAGTCCACCACTGTGATAAGTGGCCTTCCTGGTTAGCATGACATGTTGCAATCAGCTCTTGAAAGCCCTCAGGCTGTGATTGGTTTCAAAACAATATCACTGCTCACAATTCAAGCAGGGAATAAAATACATCCCTTTTTTTTTTTTTTTTCCCTCCCCAGAATTTAAAACCTATCTCACATGCTTTTAAGTGATGCATAGTGGTAACAGAATATCCCACAACAGCCCATCCCTGATGTAGGTCATATTTAGGATAGGCTATTTATATTGATCTTCATATCCCATTCACAAACACCCTTGTTTACATAAATAAACAATATTGTGTTTGCTTCCATGGAAACAGAGTTTACACAGGCCACGAAATCACCATTTAATGGAGTAGGATGTTTACATGCCTGAGAATGCTAGCTAATAATGGCATATCTCAGCTGTCATACTCTGGATTCTCATAACTGGGGATATGGGTTTGTGCAGGCTATTTGGGAGTGGGAGACTGTGCTTATAAGCTACAACTGTTAAATGTAACACTTGTGTTTGCCAAGTAATTTCAGAATATTAATGTAAAAGGTGCTCCTCTGATAATCCTCCGGCAGTCATGGATATAAAAAACGAATTTTGTTGATCATTATTTTAGATTATATTTCAATTTATTTTCACACTTTCCGTCATGAAAGCGCTTATGTTCCTGCTGTGGCAGAACTTTGTGAACAGACATTCCCCGCAACAGACTGAATCCATTGTTTAACAGTGCCAACTTTGTGGCATGTTTTGGTTTGATCCTATCCATTACATCCTCCCGGTCAGGTCCCTGCGTGACCCCCCTACCAGTCATTAGATCATTACTCCGTTTTAGGGAGCAGCAAACATCCGAGGCCTTCTGAACTTTTCCTGTGGAGTGGAGCCAACAAAACCACATGACTTAATAAATGGTGACAAACATAAGCCACCTCTCACATCAGCAACATTACATGGTAACAGAGACGTGGAGCAAGTTCAACCAAATAAATGGTCACTACAGTTTTTGTGTGTTTGTATGTATGCATTTGTGTGTGTGTGTGTGTGTGTGTGTGTGTGTGTGTGTGTGTGTGTGTGTGTGTGTGTGTGTGTGTGTGTGTGTGTGTGTGTGTGTGTGTGTGTGTGTGTGTGTGTGTGTGTGTGTGTGTGTGCTCTCCTCGTCTGTCATGCCAGCATCATTTCTGTGCTTTGATCATTTTCAAATGATCCTTGGCATGTGATTCTTCTCTGACTATGTACAGACACACAGCGTGCACTAATTAGGCATTATTTTGTCAGGTGAACGATGGCTACTGATACACCCCTCTGTCATTTTCTTGAAGAGAAAATGCACTCATGCAGGAATCCCTCCGTCTGCTTCCCTCAGCTCCTTTTTTCTCCCTGGTTTTGCAGATTCCTCCGTCCGCCCAGGCAGCCCGGGAGAAGTCGTTTTACAGTTCAATCAGGAATTCTAATAAACTGACCTGTGCTTTAATGACTAATTCATTGTCTCCTTTACTACCTTCATGGATATAAAGCGGATTAATGACTTGAGCAAGGTTAAAAACAGTACCACTGTGCTTTTCCTTCATCTATTATCAATCATCCTTTAGTTTCGAAGGAGAGCAACGGAAATTGAAGGAAAATTAGTAATCCCTTTGATGGATGATAGCATAGGTAGGAGTGTAGGCGTAAGATATAAGTGTGGCTATAGCATTAAATGGAAATCGCCTGATAAGTAGCATCACATGAGGAGCTTGCATCTTAAGATGTGGCACATATATGGAGCAAACTATAATGCTGTATGACAGGAGAATCGTCATGCTGTGATAACAAAGCCACTCAGTTTTGGACAACCTGAGTGTGGAGAGGAAGTCATATTTTTGATTATCCTCTCAACAGTGGACTCATGGATACCTGCTATCAAAATGGCCCATAGACATAATCTCATATATTGCACAGCACAGTCCTTTTACAGTGTGTTTACAACAAAGAGCTTTTAGGAACTCTGCAGCAGTTAAGAGAGTAGAGGTAAAGAATTTCACGAGAGTTGTTAAACTTCTCTGACAGTTTCTTTACTTTTTCTCACAGTGTACTTCTTTCTTGTTGTTTGGAAATCCCATGGAAGAGGAGAGAAATAAATAAAAAAAACTAAAGGGGAGGCAAAGGGGAATGGCGAGGAAAAGGGAAGAGCAGGTATAAGGCTGCGTCTCTTTGTTTACCATTCCATTTTTCCATCATACATACGGACGCCTCTGCTGCATCTCTGGGCTCTTCCCATTCTTGGCCCAGTCATTTCTGACAATGTTAATGATTTAGTGGAGAGCCCTCCACAACGGATGATTTGTGACATGTAGGAAGGCTCGAAACGGGGGAGGACTAGGCAGGTTTCTGTGGGGAGTGTTTGGGATCCAGGGATGCCTTGAAGATAGTGATTCATTATATTTAAGACAAGTGTGACATCCTACTTCAAGGAAGCAGCACACATATGTATGGAGGGGGAGTTTTTTCGGGTGGCCAAAGTGGGGAGGGGTAGGTAAGTACAAAGGAATGCCTCAGTGTTTTTTGAGATGACATAGGAATAGGAGGCAGGCATATGGAGACGGCAGACTGGAAAATAATGGGTAATGGAGGAATTTAGCCTCAGGCTATATGCCTGCTTTGCCTACTTCTGTATAACTAGTATATTTATAATTCAAATACATACCTTTAATAATTAACAACCAGTGAATATTAAAGGAGAATGCAGGATATCTTTTCTACAGATGGAGTCAGGTGAAAAATAGTATTACATTTCAAATTTGACAACAACACAGAACAAAGGATCGAAAAGCGAAAACAAAAAAAGTTGGCTGCCATTTTGGGCCAATTTCTTATCTTGGCCTCATGCAATATACAAAAAGCGCTTTTGTATGAGTGTGACATTTATTTCGAACACGTGATGGTATCATTGTACTGAAACAATACCTTAATGTTACTTGATTTAAAAAGCTGGTTAAATATTTGTGTTTGTCATATGTTTTAATTTAAAAGACAGTCAATCACTGGCTACTTTTACAGTGCGCTTATTGTTTCTTGGTTTCTGTTAGTGAATCATACTGTAAGTAAGCAGAGGGCAACTCCCTGGAAACTGAAGTGTGCAGTTACACAAGAAAACACCTCACTGATTTTCCTGGAGTGTCTCATGCAGTGTTTGATTGTTGTCTGGAGTCATTGTGAACTTTTGCTACTCTCTTACTTTAGTCATCAGCACAACAGCACCAGTATTTGGTCAAGTGTTGACACCCTTTTGTCTGCAGCGTGACATACACATCACATTCATGTATGACATTCATGTAACAGATTGATAATGATCCGTTCGCATTAAACACACCCTTCTCTCCATCCAATTATGTAATTTCAGACACATTTAGGCTGCGGCAATTTGGAAAATAAGAACTGTGTTGCCAAATGCATTGAGATTCAGTGTATTTATGCAGAGCTCCAAGTGTGCCTTTTAAAATAAAATATCCCAAAGGACAGTGTGTTTTGTAGTCTGTACACAAGTGGCACAGAAAAGCTCTCATAGACTGTGTCAACCAAAGTTATGCAAACAACGGAGTTCAACAAAAACCATACATTTGCATATTCTGGATCTGAAATGTGTTCCCTTTTTTTGTAGGCCTCATTTCTATCTCCACGCTTTGATGTAGCTCATACATATTGACGACCCGCTGAAGAAACCACCACGTTAACTAAAGCGTGAGCTTAATTTGTGCATCCCCTTTAAAAAATGGTGCATTAGTTTGTCCCATTTATATTTCCAGCATTAATTAGCAAGTGAGAGATTGGACAATTAGTTCATCCATGCTAATTGATTATAATATTACAACTTGGTGATGATAGGATGAACATAGACTCCTCGTTCCATATTCCTCTAAGGGATTTGATAATATATACAATGCTTCTGTGTAATGAGGGTTTTAAAAAGACCAAATCAGCTAGGGAAATTGTTAATTCAATTCCACTCAGATGATACTGAGTTTTTCAGGGCACAAATGAATTGAATTGGATTGCAGGGATGCTGGGATCTTACAGAATGGCAGTGTCCTTTTTGATTTTGACTCATGTCAACACAGATGATGTAGATCACTGGTTCATTTATGTCAGTGGCACAATAGGATGTGAACTCTCAAAGACTTGATCGTATCTAGGTCATTTTTTCTTTCTTTCTTCGTAATTGAAAAGCCCGTTCTGTTTCATATCTGCAACTTCCAGAAATGCATACTGCTCCGGAGGAAGGGATACAGTAAATACAGAAGAAAATGAACACGTATGCTTCAAAATAACTGTGTTTTCCCAAGAGGCCAACGCGGTGCCTTTAAACATGATACCGCTTCAGCATGACAATGTCAATGACCAGATTCTACCACAAGTATAGAATTACACTATTAACTGTTCCTCCCCTTATCTAACTTATACAGGACCACT